AGTTGTCCTCTGACATCTACATTTTGTGACATATGCACATACAAAGAAATCACGTAATTAAAAACTAACAAAAGAATGAAGGAGGCAGCACATCAAAACTAAACAGTACTGCCGGGTGGTGGTGGCGCACGCCTTTAATCCCAGCACTTGGGAGGCAGAGCCAGGCGGATCTCTGTGAGTTCGAGGCCAGCTTAGGCTACCAAGTGAGTTCCAGGAAAGGCGCAAAGCTACACAGAGAAACCCTGTCTCGAAAAACCAAAAAATAAAAAAATTTTAAAAAAATAAAATAAACAGTACTGAGAGACAGCTGTCTTGCAAAGGACCCAGGGTCAGCTCCCAGCATCCCAATGGTGGTTCACAACTGCCTGTAACTCCTGTTCCAGTGAATTCTACATCCTCTCTGGCCACCTCAGGCACCTGCTTGCACACGGTGTACATGTGCAAACTCATGCAGGCACAAATACATAAATAAATATTTTTTAAAAGCTTTAAATAGCCAAGTACAGTAGAACACACCCTTAGTGTCAGCATGTGGAAGGGAGAAGTAGGCAAATTACTGTGAGTTTGAGGCCAGCCTGATCAACATAGCAAATCCAGGGCAGCCAGGGCTACATAGTGAGAACTTTGTCTCAAAACTAAATAAATAAACGTTAGGTCTCAAAGAAACCTGGGACAGAAGGCAAAGAGAGGTGTCTACTTAACATATCAAAGCAGACACTGGCTAGTTCTCCCAGCATTCCTCAGTACCTGTGGCTCCACGAAGCACTTCTCACTCTGCCCCCTACTCTAAACCTCTCCCTCCCAGGGGCTGGACTTCCGCTTCCCTCCCCACAGCCAGAGCCCTACATAACCCAACCATTTTGGCTCTGCAGCTCTCTTGGCCTCTTTGCCCTGGCCGTCAGTGCCTCTCTTGCTCTTCTCATGGTCTGCTCTAGTCAGCCTGGACTCGCCCCTCTGCCTGCTTCCTCTTTTATCTCTACAATAAAAATCTTCTCCATACTTTAGGAGCTGTCATGCCTCCCTCCTTTTATTTTAGTTTTCATTCAATAAATAACAGTAACGGGGCCTGGCGAGATGGCTCAGTGGGTAAAGGTGGCTTGCCTATCAAGCCTGACCACCTGAGTTTCATCACTGGAACCGACATACAGGTAGAAAGAGAGAACTAATTCACAAAGTGTCTTCTGACCTCCATGCCCACACAAAGGCAATCACATAATCATTAACACATATAGACACCACACACACAAATAATAAAAACTAAATAAAATGTTTTAAAATGGAAAACTAGTTGGACATGGTGGCACACACCTTAATCCCAGCACTTGGGAGGTAGAGGCAGGTAAACCTCTATGAATTCAAGGCTAAGCTGGACTACATAGTGAGTTTCAGCCCAGCCAGGGATATACAGTGAGACCTTGTCTCAAATATATAACATGTGGATAGTGGGAAAAACATATTTGAGATACGAATAAGCAACAGAAGGTCTTAGCAAGAGCAAAGAGACTTCCAGCTACAGGTAAACCCAGCCATAGATAAATGCAATAAAAGGAAACAGCATCTCTATGACATGTTCAAATACATGCACACAAACTCTTACAGATTCCTCATCTGAACACCGCAATCTGTGGTGTTCATTTTGTTTCTCACACATGCACAGCTCAAGAATTTATCCACCATTATCCAAAGCAGTGACCCCTGCAACCCTCAAATGGCAGTCCCAGGGACAATGTCCTAAACAGAAGGAATTTGTCTGGGTTAACAGAAGCCTAAAGGTGGGTCTCTGTTTACTGGAACCGCCCTTAATCTTCCTTGTATCAACCCTGCTGACATAAAATCTGTTTGCTTTTTTTCCATACCTCTCCCCCTCCTTCAGTTTGCTCCCTTCTAAACCTTTCTACCCATGGAGGAGTCTAGTTTGGTAGTTTCACTGTACCCTTACTTACACACCCATCCCAGGAACTCCTGCAAGGTACACCACAAAAAAATCAGAGTAGCTATGAACTGGAAGAGAAACCACAGGACTTTGGGGACTAAGGGACTTGGACACATGAGAGGAAAAGAATTCTCAGCTGACAGTGTAGGGAGCGAACAGGACAATGCAGAGTATGGAGTACCAAGACAGCAGCCTGGCCATGAAGTCAGAAAATCATCAAAAGTTTCCTCACGGGAAGCAGGGAATGAACTGGCAGCCAGACCCTGGAGCACACTGCAAGCTTGAATCCCAGGCTGGCAGCTGCTTCAACATATGAGTTCAGCTGGCTGTGTCATCTGTGCCTCAGTTTCTCTTCTTTAAAATGAGACAACAGCATCAGCTCAGGAGCCTCCTGTGAGAATTAGCACTGTGCCTGGGACACAGGAAGCAGCAAGTGAGTAACCGCTGCTCCTGCTGCTGTCTGTCTGCTACTGGTAATTTCATGGACAGGACATATAAACATTTGGAGAAAATATTAGCACAACGAATCTCTAACCTATAATGTTACTCATCAGAAAAAAAAAACAAACAGTTGCAGAGAAAAACAATGGCATCATGAGGTTTACAGACAAATGGATGGATCTAGAAAAAAATCATCCTGAGTGAGGTAACCCAGACTCAGAAAGACAAACATGGTATGTACTCACTCATAGCAAGATACTAGACATGAAACAAGGATGACTTGTCTGCTACTCACATCACCAGGGAGGCTACCTGGAAAACAGGACCCCAAGAAAGACACAGGGATCACCCAATGACAGAGAAATGGAATGAGATCTACATGAACAGCCTGGACATGAGTGGCGGTAATGAAAGGCGAGGGTTGAGGGAAAGAGAGCTTGGGGGAGCGGGAGATCCCAGCTGGATCAACAACAGAGAGGGAGAACAAGGAATAGGAGACCATGGTAAATAAAGACCACATGAGAATAGGAAGAAGCAAAGTGCTAGAGAGGCCCACAGAAATCCACAAAGATACCCACACAACAGACTGCTGGCAGTGGTCGAGAGACAGCCCGAACTGACCTACTCTGGTGATGGGATGGCCAAACACCCTAATTGTTGTGCTAGAAACCTCATCCAACTACTGAGGGATCTGGATGCAGAGATCCATGACTAGGCCCTGGGTGGATCTCTGGGAGTCCAATTAGCGAGAATGAGGAGGGTTTATATGAGCGAGAATTGTTGAGACCAAGGTTGGATAAAGCACAGGGACAAATAGCCAAATGAATGGAAACACATGAACTATGAACCAATGGCTGAGGGGTCCCCACTGGATCAGGCCCTCTGAATGGATGAGACAGTTGATTGGCTTGATCTGTTTGGGAGGCACCCAGGCAGTGGGACCAGATCTTGTGCTCATTGCATGAGTTGGCTGTTTGAAACCTGGGGCCTATGCAGGATTGTTTGGCTCGGCCTGGGAGGAGGGGACTAGACCTACCTGGACTGAGTCTACCAGGTTGACCTCAGTCTGTGGGGAAGGCTTTGCCCTGGAGGAGATGGGAATGGGGGGGGGGGGGGTTGGGGGGAAGGTGAGGGGGACGGGAGGGGGGAGAACAAGGGAATCCGTGGCTGATATGTAGAACTGAATTGTATTGCAAAATAAATTAATAAAAAAAAAAAAAAAAAAAAAAAAAACAGTTATGCACAGACAAAACCGTATGTACAAACAGACAGCTGGAGCTGCACAGTACACAGCTGTTCAAGTAGCAGGGAAGATGAATCTGCTAAGAATCGCATCCAGTTGGGTATTGAGATTAACAGTCCAGGAGGCTGGAGACTGACCCTTTCCTTCAAGGTCAACTTAAAACCCTACCTTCCCGATAACACTAGAAGGCAGACCAACACAACTGCCCCTCCTTAGGATTTAAAACACCACACAAAAAGGTGGCAGGGCTTTGCTAAGGCCTGTTAAGGGAAAGCAAGCTACTTCCTCCTGGTCAAAAGAATGAAATCTCAGCTTTACCTCCAGCCCAAGGTGGAAACAGCTCCAAAGATTGGAACTTTACAAACTAATGTCCCCTCCTGGAAGAACTAATCCAACTGCTGGTGACCATCACTTGGGCAGACGTCCACCTGGAAAGCAGATTCACCTGAAGAAATGCTAAAGACTGGGAGGAATAATTATGACCCTAATCAGCCTCCTCCCTCAGAAAAGTGCTTACAGATCTTCACTGTTAGGCTTGCAGGCTTTTCTGAGCTCTCACACAAGACACTAACTTTTCCTCCTCTTTTCCAGATCCTGGCCCCAAGCCTACTAAGCATGCTTTCCCTGGTATACTAGGCTTCCTGAGTGTCTCTGAAAACCCCAATCACCCACAGCTGCCTCTTCCTACTGCCACTGCTGGCCTCATTGCCAAAACAGATGGCTAGTTTCTCTCTCCTCTCCTCCATCTCTCTCCTCCCTGCAACTACAGGACTTTCAGGATACCTGCCTTGTTAGCTTGTTCTGTTTTCCCTAAAACTCTAATATAAGTCGTCTTGGGGCTTCCTTCTGAGTCCATTTTAAGATTCTTTTACCCATGAGACGAACAACTGACAAAATAGTACCTTCCTTCCCAGATGCACCAATTCTTACAGGGATGGGCATAGCAAGCAACCTTTAAGAACTGAGGATAGCAAGATGTGAAAGAGGATAGCAAGATGTGAAAGAGGAATAAACAAATATAAAAAAGAGAGCTCAAGAGGGAAGAAGAGCTTGTCATTAAAAATAAAATAGATGAAACGACATCTATAGTGGTGTAGGCCTGTAACCCCAGCACTGGAGAAGCTGAGGCAAAAAAGGTGTTGAGTGTGATGGCAGCCTGGACTACACAGAAAGTTCCAGGCCAGCCCCACATACACAGTAAGACCCTATATCCAATGAAAGGGAGGGCAAGGGGGGTGAGCGGTAATAAGCTGATGTGGGATGCACATAGTCCACTCTTAACTAGATTAAAGATCATCTCAGAAATAGGTAACACAGGGTCTGCAGCTTCTTGTGTCTGCCCTCAAGTCCAGAAGAACCAAGTATGAAGTCACTCCTGCTTACCTCACACGACCCATGCTGCACCTCTGCACCCAATGGTTGGATCTTCTGTCGGAAATTCGTATCAGCAGCCATGTCTCCTCTGATCTTCTAGTCTTGATGTTTCTCGGTAGCAAATACAAATTCCTCAAGAGTCACAGATGCTGAAGCAAGGCTAGCCGTGGTACAGCAGGAAATCCTGAGGCCTGAATGATTTCAGGGGTCCCAGGAGCTCGGAGACACTGAAAATCCCTAAAAGACAATGACCCAACATCAGACCATGAAGTGGTGAGGGCCCACGTGGAATATCACATGAAGGCTCTGAAGAGGATACATAAAAGCCCTGATCGTTATTAGTCAGGGTTATAAACCAAACAACAAAAGAAAACAAAAAAAATTTAAAAACCATCATTTTGGAAGGAAGGACACACTTTCAGCCCTCCCATTTTAACTAGGAGAAAAACAATATGCTAACCTAGTTGTTTACAAAATGAGGACTTATAGGGATCCAGAATGCCATACCAGAGAGGGCCCACTAGGCCCTCAGCACCTGCCTGGAAGGTAATAAATACCAACAAAAACTGAGTAAGCTGCCGACTTAATTTTGATTTCATTTCAAACGACCCTTTCAGCTACACATAGTAAGCATTAGTATTCTGTTTAATTTGCTCACAGGTCACTAAATAGAAGAACAGTGGCACAAATTCAAGCTGTTTTGATTCTAAGGAACACACTGGCCACCATATTCTATGTAGTCTCTTCTGTAGTCAGCATCTAAAAACAGCATCTCTGCTTCCTGTTGCCCAGAGAGTTCAGGATGAGAGCCAATTCTGATTCTAGTCTGAGTTTCTAGACATTTCTCTCTCCACACACAGCCACATCATGAAAAATTCACTCACCCAACCCTCACCCCCCCAACACACACATACACACACACACACACACACACACACACACACACACGCGCGCCCAAAAAACCTAAGAAAATGCACCAGGACCTCTCTTCACTGGGCACTTCTAGCCTGTTCATGAGCTGTTCCCTCTCCACCAGAATACAGCCACTGACACAGATAAGTAAGTTCCAGTAACCTCCAACCAGTGGGGCATGGACTGCCAGGTTACAAACTGCCTCCTAGTCACTGACATGCTCCAGACACCTTAAATCATTACTGCCCTAGTACACCCCCCCCCTCCAAAAATGCTCCCAGGAAGGAATAATGTACTGTTTTTGTGTGTGTGTGTGTGTGTGTGTGTGTGTGTGTGTGTGTGTGTGTGTGTGTGTGTTAGTTTGTTTTTAAGATGGGGTGTGTGTGTGTGTGTCTGTGTGTGTGTTAGTTTGTTTTTAAGATGGGGTCTATTATGTAGCTCGTAGCTCTGGCTGTCCTGGAACTCGCTCTGTAGCCCAGGCTGGCCTCGAACTCACATAGATCCGCCTGCCTCTACCTCCGGAGTGCTGGGATTAAAGGCGTGTGCCACCACCGGTGGAGGGCGAGAATTTGTTTTTAATATTCATGGTCATTTCCTTCAATAATGCTAGCCACCCACAGCGGGAGGAACTGGTAAAGGAGATCCAACAACAGCACACAAAACAAAGGAAATTCCTTACTTTTACAGACCTTAGAGAGAGAGAAGTCTCTGAGCTCAGCAGCTTAGATACCAGGCAGGATGCAAAGCGTGCCCCTCGCCCAAGACAGACACAGACAAGCAGACACAAGAGAGAGGAAGACGGTACGGAGCGGGGAGAGGCGAACAGAGAGACATCTGTGGTCTGACACTTTCTATTTTAGTACACCTGACGCGTTTGTTTCTCTTCATGCAGTACAACACAGTCAAGCCGTACAGTCACTGGCTACGCAAACACTACCCAACCAGAGTGGCCCTCACAAGCACCCTACACCCGCCCCAGGCTACATCGCTGCCCGAGATGACTTCTACGCCAATCATGGTCTGAGTGGGTCACAAGCCACCTCAAGGTCCTCGTCCTGAAGCTCCAGGACCGGCTCCTGCAGCGCCCACTCCCTGAGTCCTGCCCCGATCGTCCTCACAGGACAACTTGCCGGGACGACGGCGTGAAATCCCAAAGGAGAGCACACTGGGAAGTGACAAAACACACAGGACGCGGAAGACCCGCGAGAACGCAATGAAAACGAACCGAACGACCCCCACCTTATTTATCCACGGCATGCCCCTGCAGCCGCCTCAGCCGTCAGTCTGCACAAACCAGCGCTCAGCAGCAGCACAGCGTCCTCCCTGCCCCGCAGCCACTCACCTCAGGCTGCACCTCAGAGAGCTCTGCACACCGCACTCCAGGGCCGCGACTTCCGCCCACGAACGCCAAAGAGTCCCGGATGGAAAAGTTCCAAACCACCTCGCGGAACCGCCAGCGAAGTAACACTAGAATGACTAGAACATTTAACCTTTCATGGCCACTTTATTTCCGGTGTCTTTTAGATTTCCGGCAGGATTTGTCCCCGCCCCGTAGTGATGCGCATGCTCGCTAACACTTTTGAAACCGAGTGCCTGCCAACAGTCATCATGGCGGACTAGGTGGTTCCAGTTTTTTTGGAAACCTCCATGGCGGTGTCCATAAGCTCAGGATGTTAGAGGCCACCATCTAGGGACTTCGGTTCCGTAGCGGCGGGAAAGCTGAATACAATGCCATAGAGTGGAAGTTGGACGCTGTCCCATATGGTGTGACAGGCCTGGCAGGAATTATGATATTCCAAAGAGACATTCATGCCCCTTCCTTTGCAGACTGTTGAGACAATGGACCCCAGAAATATAAATCTCATTATGGGGGAAGGGATATGCTGAAGCCAGGAGGCAATCAGAGCTGGGACTTACAGATTTCACACAGTTCTGTCAACTTGTTAGACCACTTTGCAGGACAGACTGGAGCCAGAGACAATGACAGCGAGGGGGACCACACACTAAGAATGCTTAGTTACGTACTTTTTGCCTTCCATTTAAACCTAATTCTGCAGGGGTGGGGGTGGAGAGGTAGCTCAAAGAACACAAACTGCTAGTGCAGAGGAACCAAGTTCAATTCCAGCACCCACATGTCAGCTCACAACCTTCTGTAACTCCAGTTCCAGGAGAATCTGATGTTCTCTTCTGACCTCCAAAGGCACCAGGCACACAAGTGGTGCACAGACATGCATGCCAATAAGGCACCCATACACATAAAATGAAAATAAAAATCTTTTGGGCAGTAGTGGCACAAGCTTTTAATCCAGAATTTGGGAGGCAGAGGCAGGTGGATCTCTTGAGTTCTAGGCCAGCCTGGTCTACAGAGTAAGTTCCAGGACAGCCAGAGAAACCCTTTCTCAAAAAATCAAAATATAAATAGATAAACAAACAAATAAATAGATAAATAAATAAAATAGTGGCCAGGTGAGGTGGTAAACACCTCTAATCCCAGCAATATAGAGGCAGAAGGCACCTCTCTGAGTCTGAGCCAGCCTGGGCTACATAGCAAAATAATCCCATGACTTCTGTTTTGCTATTGTGGAAAGGTGAACTATGCATGGTAGATCTCCATTGTTTTAAAATTGTATTTCCCAAGTTATGTAAGCTTTTTGGGGAAAGAAATCTTTAATGTATTAACAGAAATTTTCAAACTAGTGGAATGGTCTGAGCAGGGTGGTGCTCACCTTTAATCCCAGCACGTAGGAGGCAGAGGCCAGCACATCTCTGTAAGTTTGAAGCCAATACAGTGAATCCAGGCTGGCCAGAGTTACATGGTGAGATTCTGTCTCAAAAAACAATGGAATAAAAGAAATAAAATGAAAAACTAATGGAGTGTACATTCATGTTTTTCCAAGATATGGTGCATGTGGAAATATCTGAGGACTTTCTTTTTAATCTCTTAGTCTTGGTATAGTCATATACACATGTAATCCCAGCATTCAGCAAAGCAGAGGCAGGGTGTCTGTGTCACTGGATCTCTTGTTCCTAGTCTCAGGGTGGACAAACTGAATTCATCTCCTTTCTCTGTTTTTTTTTTTTCTATTACGTGTCACTTTAATTGGTTACAGATGATGGTAGCCAGAGCCCAGCTTGTTAGGCCTTTCAGGACCCAGGTTGTAACACTAAAAATCTCAGTGGCACATCTTTGCAACTCAGGTCTTCAGGCTTATCAGCAAGCACCTTTACCCACTAGGCCATTTCACCAGCCCTCTTTTCTTTGTTTCTTCTTTTTTATCTGTTTTCCTTTTCTTTCTTTCTTTTTTTATTATTTATTTATTATTTTTGGATAGGGCTTCTCCGTATTCCAGGCTGAACTTAAATTCTCCATCCTTCTGCATCACAAGTGTTTCAATTACAGTCCTGTGTCACCATGTCTGGATGAAATGAAATTTCTTGTATATGACAGCTTGGAATCATTGCATGGTCACCATTGAACGGAAGTCTATTCTCATATGCATAAAGTTTTGGGGGATGGGTGTTGGTTATTATTGGTTTATGTGGAACGGAACACAAAAGTGTGAGACAGAGGTGGAGCAAGGAAGTGAATGGGGAGAGCCAGGTCAAAGAGGAACAGCAGGAAGCTCTGTAGAATTCTTTAGCAAGCCATTTCACAGTACAATAACCAGACTGAAGAATATTGGCAATATACTGTCAGCATTTGGAGGTGCAAGCACAAGAAGCACACTTCCCTCTGCCATCCCCAGGATACTACGGAGTTCCCCTAGAGACTTTTAGGAATATATATTCAAGCCAATCCAAGATTTATGACTTCTGCACTGAACAGAATTCCAGGACTAACAGTAGAACTCAAAATTTTATTAAAGATGTATTTCAATATTTATTTATGTGTATGTTTGCCTGAACATATGTATGTGCACCACAATTGTGCCTGGTGCCCCTGGAGATCAGAAAAAAGGTTTGGATTCCCTGCAACTGCAGTTACATACAGATGGTTGAGAATCTATCATGTAGATACTGGAAATGGAACCAAGGTCCTCTGCAATAACAAGTCCTCTTAACAACTAAGTCATAAATGCAGAGAAATTCAAAGCAATTCCACTAAAATCAGGAACAAGACAAACCTGTCCACTCTCTCCATATCTATTCAATGTAGTACTTGAAGTTCTAGCTAGAGCAGTAAGACAACTGAAGAAGATCAAGGGGATACAAATTGGAAAGGAAGGAGTACAAGTATCTTCATTTGCAGATGATATGAGAGTATACATAAGTGACTCAAAAATTCCACCAGAGAACTCCTACAGGTAGTAAACACTTTCAGTGAAGTAGTTGGATTTTACAAGATAACTCAGAAAAAGCAGTAGCTTTCCTGTATACAAATGACAAGTAGACTGAGAAAGAAATCAGGGAAACAACACCCTTCATGATAGCCTCAAATAATATAAAATATCTTGAGGTAACTCTGACCAAGAAAGTGAAAGACCTGTATGACAAATCTTCAAGTGTTTGAAGAAAGAAATTGAAGAAGATATCAGAACATAGAAAGATTTCCCACGCTTGTGGATTGGTAGGATTATCATAGTCAAATGTGCAAAAGCAATCTACAGATTCTCTAATCTCTCCAGGACTTTTATCATGAAAGGGTGTTTGTACTAGGCTTTTTCTTTTGGATCACCAACCAGCTCTGAAATCATGACACAGACTTAATATTAGTTACAAACACTTAGCCTTATCTTATGCTTGTTTCTTGCTAGCTCTTATAACTTAACCTGTTTCTCTTCATTTATGTTTTGCCCCAGGGCTTTTTACCTTTCTTTCTTTCTGTATGTCCTACTCTATCTAGCTGGCTCCCTCTTTCTCTCCTCTCATTCTTCTCTCTTCCTAGGTTTCTCCCCCTACTTATTTTCTCTGCCCTCCAGCCCCACTTATTCTTTTTCTGCCTGGCTATTGGCTGCTCAGCTTTTTATTAGACCAATCAAGTGCCTTAGGCAGGCAAGGTAAAACAAATGCAACACATCTTTACATAATTAAACAAATACAGCATAAAAAATATAACACATCTTTACATCATTAACAAAGGCAGTATAAACAAGTGTAACATATTTTCACATAGTTAAAGTAATATTCTGCAGAATAAATAAATGTAACACATCTTTGCCTAGTTAAAATAATATTCCACAACAGGTATTGGATTGTGTCAAAAGCCTTTTGTGCATCTAATGAGATGATCATATGACTTTTTTGTCTTTTAGTTTGTTTATATGGGGGAATCACATTTACTGATTTTGTATGTTGAACCACCTCTGCATCTCCAGGATGAAGCCTACTTGATCACAGTGGATAATCTTTTTGATGTGTTCTGAGATTTAGTTTGCAAGTATTTTGTTGAGTATTTTTGTATCTATGTTCATAAGGGAAACTGCTCTGTTATTATCTTTCTTTGTTGAGTCTTTATGTGATTTGGGTACCAGGGTAACTGTGGCCTCATAAAATGAATTGGGCAATGTTCCATTTGTTTCTATTTTCTGCAATAATTTGAGGAGTATTGGAGTTAACTCTTCTTTGAAAGTTTAGTAGAATTCTGTGCTAAAATTCAGCCCTGGGCTTCTTTTGGCTGGGAGACTTTTAATGACTGCTTCCATTTCACTAGGGGTTATAGGTCTATTTAAATTGTTTGTCTCACCTTGATTTTATTTTGGTATGTGGTACCTATCCAAAAAATTGTCCATTTCTTTTAAATTTTCCAATTTGTGGAGTACAGGTTTTCGAAGTATGACCTAATAATTCTCAGGATTTCCTCAGTCTGTTATTATGTCCTCCTTTTCCTTTCTAATTTTGTTAATTTGGATATTCTCTCTCTGTCTTTTAGTTAGTTTGGATAATGGTTTGTAGACCTCATTGATTTTTCTTTTTGTTCTAGAGCTTTCAGGTGTGCTGTTTGTTGCTAATAAGAGATCTCTCCAGATTTTTTATGTAGGCACTTGTTATTATGAACTAGTCAAACAGCCTTCATTGTGTCCCATAAGTTTGGGTATGTGGTGTATTCTTCTTTGGGGGAGAAAGGGGAACAGAGTTTCTCTGTGTAACCACTCTGGCTATGCTAGAACTCATTTGATTGACCAGGCTGTCCTCTAACTCACAGAGATCCACCTGCCTCAGCCTCCTGAGCACTGGGATTAAAGGTGTGCACCACCACCATCCAGCTTGTGTATTCTTTTTTATTCAGTTTCAGAAAGTCTTTAATTTCTTTATTTCTGTCTTGACCCATTTTTCATTCAGTAGAGAATGTTCAGTTTCCGTAAGTTTGTAAGCTCTCTGCTGTTTCTGTTGTTGTATAAACACCAGATATAAAGATATCTAGCTTTAATCCATGGTGATCTGATAGGATTTTGATTTCCCTTTATCTGTTGAGACTTGCTTTATGTCCAAGTATGTGGTCAATTTGGAGAACATTCCATGAGTTGCAGAGAAGAAGGTATATTCTTCTGTGTTTGGAGAAAATATTCTGTAAAT